TAAGTAAGCTGAAGTCAGCTGAAGATTTACAGAAAATGTTTGCTTTCCTGGTATAGGTACCAGACTTTTCCCCTTGATGTTTCTTTCTTCTGCCTATCTGAAACATTGGGTTGAGAGTTAGCAGCCATCTTGCATGCACAATGGGAAAAAAGCCACATACTGGGGATGACAGAGCATAAAGAAGGACTCTAGGACATTGGTGACATCATGGAGTCACGGCACCAGTCTTAACTGTCTCCCTCCGTCATTCTTGTTATATGAGGAAAATAACCCTATTTAGTTAAGCAACCCACTGTCATCAGGATCCATTACATGTGACCAAATGCAATTCTTAATCTATACTCTTGCTCCCTACATTTCCTCACCTTCTACTCACTCTCAAAGCATTCCATTCTGGCTTCTGGCCCATCATTCCACTGGGCTCACCAATGACCTGCATGTTGTGAAATCCAGGGGATATTTTCAGTTCTCATATTTCTTAACCTCTCAGCGGCATTTGACTCTTGTCCACGGCCTCCTCTTTGAAACACTGTCTTCCCGTGGCTTCCATGACTAGTACTCTCTGAGTTTGTTCCTTCACCTCCAGCTGCTCCCTCTCTGTTTCCTTTGTGGATTATTCTTCCTCTTCTAGCCACACTCACAGTCTCTCGGCCTCTAAGACAGATCATAGCCTTAGTCACATGCTCTTCCCTATGTTATGAATGTTCTCCTCTCCTTCCTTTTGCCGGCTTAGTCTTCCTTATCCCTCAGTTCTCCATCCATTCTTCATTTCCTCAGGGAAGCTTCCTCTGACTTCCTTGTGAGGTCATATTTCCCTGTTGTATATTCCTTCATAGCTCTTACATAGTTACAACTTTACCTTTTTTAGTGCCTACCTCAGAATGTAGACTCCATGAAGACAGGGATGGTCTACTTTTGCTCATCATTTTATCCTGAGAATGCAAAATGTTCCCCAACACATAATATGTGCTCAATAATTAGTTCCTGAATGCATAGATGGATGAATGTATAATTATATGGGGATTTATTTGCCTACCTGTTTATCACCTATCTTATTCCAGCTCCGTGAGAGAAGGAAACATACCTATTTTGTTCACAACCACATATGCATTACCTAACACATACTGCATGGCACATAGTAGGAAACACAATACATTTTTTAACGAATTACAGAATGAAAGAGAGAGACATTCCAATAGTTCTTTCCCTAACATGTCAGTATTTGGATATTATTTTACTATCTTTTCATAAAGTTTCTGGTTATAATAGAGTACCAAATACCTTTGTTGTCTCTAGAGAAGAGTCTTCTGGAAAATATTATCTGCTACCGTGTTCTCCTTACAATATGTCATGTCTAAAATAGGTCGTCTATAAAAATCTTGAATCTATACACTTCTTCCCCTCTTTGTTGCCACCACCCTAGTCAAGCTCACATATTTCCCCTGAACTGAATTTGGACCATACACCTTTCCTAAAGTATGATTTATTAAACTATATATAAACTTGGTTGATTCAGAGTTTTGACTGTACCTCAGAGCCAAGGATCATATCTGTTTATGTTATCTCCAAAGAAACCTAAATATGGCATATACATAATTTTTTATTTTGTTGTGGCAGAGAATTATTTCTGTTCAACATTTGACAAAATATTTCATTTACTTAAGGAAAAGAAGTATTTTTAAACTAGCAACAAATCTTAGTTTTCAAATGACCAAACTGAAAACATTCAAAAAAAGCCAATAACCTTTTAAGTTCCCCTACCCTCCTGCCCCATGAATTCTTAGTCATTGAGGTACCCGAGATGTTCACTGAGGTTGACAAGAAGAGTAATTTATGCAATGTGACAGATTTGAGAATGCCCCCAGCCTTGTCATCAGCGTATCTGGATTCTCCCCCTTCCACCAAGGCCAAGCACCTGTCTTTCTTCCTCGACAGATCTTCCTTTCACTCACTCATCTAATAAACGTATGTTTGTATATATCTCTTCTCTCCAGTCAGCCTGGGAAGGATGCAACCCATATATTACACATTGTTGTATCCTCAGGACCTAGTACAAAGTCTTGTTGATACAATGTTTTGCTGATGCTGATGCTTATTTTCTTTTTGCTAATAAGATTTACCGAGCACCTACTACTGTCCCAGGCACTATGTTATGCTCAGTAGGTGCTATTTTCACTGATGAGAGTTGAAGGAACTTGCACAAGTCTTGTAGTTAGTGAGTAACAGACCCAGGACTCAAACACAGGTTCCCAGATTCCAGAGCTGGTGCTCTTAACCACTAGGCAATCCTGCCTTTCATGAATATTCATAGGTTACAAACTCCAGCCAGGCTGCATTTGCTCCTAACTTTCAGAAGGCAGCAAGTGATCAGCTTTGCTTACAACCGATCAGAAGCATTTCAAGTTGTTTTCAAATGAAGTTGTAAGTCTGAAGATAATTAAGAAAGAAACCGTTTTTGGAAACAGCAGGAAGTGGTGATGTGTAGAGCCCCACTTTGACGTTTTGAAGTGCATTTAAACACATAGCTCAGGGCTATGAAAAGTCACTACACTGAGATTGCAGAAGTATTAAAAATCAAATTGCCTTATTAATTTTTTAGAGAACTGTAAATGACAACCTTTCGTCTCTGGAGAAATCTTTCCCTAAAGCTCCAAGCCTCTTGTTGACTAGGATGAATAAGTTGGCCTCCATCCTTGTCATGTATCCATTCTCTGTCCCAGAGGGTCAAAGAAAACCATCTCATTTTAAAATGTAAGCTTCATTTGTTGAAGTTTCTAGCCAGTTAAACTAGAAGCAGGAAAATCCATTTCATGTGGCATGAGAGTAGAAAGCATTTTGCCACAGTCCAGCATAATGAGGGAAGACTAGTCAAGGTTATTATTAGGTTTAATCTCTTCATCTAATTGATAAGGTCAATTAATACTCTTCCTGTCAAGAAAAAAGAAAAAAGCTTTATGAAGTCTTGACCGTTGATACTTTAACCAGCTTACCCTTTTGTATTTTGAGTGAGAGGCTCTATATCATGAACCACTGAGTTTCCTTGAAAGCTCCAGAGAATCCAACACTTGCAGAAATGTCCAGGAGTAAGATAACCCAGAGACTTGAACCTGCAGTAAAATGGAGTTTCTCCAAATTAGGCATCAGAAGCAGCAGATAAGAGCAACTGGCAACTGGAGATATCCTTGTTACTGTCTGGGCTACAGTCATGCTGGCAGAAGCTTTAACTAACTAAATTTACTTGTGAGTTCTCCAAAGGGAGTGACTGTGTTGCACCAGGGTCATTTTTCATAACATACTACTTTGCAAATAAGTTCCTAGGACCTTGTAAAATATTTGACTTCTGAACCTCAATATAAGTATTAAAATGCCAGCATGTCCATTACATATCCCAGCTACAAAAAATATGAGTTTAACTGTTCGCTGGAAATAGAAACTTCAATAATATTTATGACTTATTTGAGCATACAGTCTTCATTTTGAAAGACTTAAAGCCTCTAGGAGGTAATTAGCATCCAGTAACAACACCTTGGGATATCCCTGTTTTGGCAGCATCTGTAGCCAGATCTGGTTACAGTTAATAAACTAATACTGGAGCTGTTGACCTTAGGAGGACAGGTGTCCTCTCTAACAATAGGTCCATATTCTGGTCAATAAGGAATTTACTTGATTGATTAAATTGGCTTGAGGCCTGGTCTGTTTGCTCCGATATTGGGCCAACATTGTAGCCTCCTCACAAAGACTTAATGGAGTTTTCATCTCTTCCTCACATAATGTGCTCTGTAATTAATTGAGCATTACATTTCCTGAAAGAAATATTGTTTTATGGCTGAACACATAATACCATTCACTAATTTATTAATTAATCCAATATATATTGAATACCTCGTATGTGTCAAGTACTTGGCAGGTCATGGAGATACAAAAATTAATGACAAGGAATCTAGGGGCGCCTGGGTGGCTCAGTCGTTGAGTGCCTGCCTTCGGCTCAGGTCATGATCTCAGGGTCTTGGAATCGGGCCCCGCATCGGGCTCCCTGCTCAGGGGGGGAGCCTGCTTCTCCCCCTCACACTCCCTCTGCTTGTGTTCCCTCTCTCGCGGTTTCTCTCTCTCTCAGATAAATAAATAAATAAAAATCTTTTTAAAAAATGACAAGGAATCTCTACTAATAGCTCAACTTAGTAGCCCAATATTTGTTTGAAGGATCCAGATCTTTCTATCTATATTTTATCCAGGCAGCCCAATCTGCAAAGCCCAGTTCAGGTCTTATCTCCTCATTTATTCATTTAGGAAAACTTTATTAGGTTACCTAAACTGTGAGGCACTGGAATGAAAAAGATGAGGAGAATAAGTCTCCAAATCACCAGGAGCTTCCAGCTTTGTAGGGAGGTAAGCAACGTAGACAGGACCAGATTGTGGAAGATGTTTCAAGTCAGGCTAATCAAGGAATATGGGTTTTATCCTATAACAGTGAGGAGCTAAGAGACAGTATAAAGGAAAACAGAAGCATGGTTAAATTTCCATTTTAGAAAAATCAGTTTAACAATGACAAGGAAGAGTGGCCAGAAGGAAGGAAATCAGAGGGAGGAGAAATCAAATTCCAAAGCAATTGAAGAAATAGAAATAACAAGATTTTAATAACAAATTGAATGTGAAGACTGAGGGAGAGGATGAAGTCTAGAAAGACTTCTAAGATTCTGGTCTAAGTGACATTAGCAGCAGGAGAAAGAGAACAGGGTTAGTAGAAAAATGAGTTCAATTTTGAATGTATTTTGGGGTGCCTGCATGGCTCAATCAGTTAAGCGTCTGACTCTTGATTTTGGCTCAGGTCATGATCTCAGGGTCATGAGATCGAGCCCCGCTTTGGACTCTGCACTGAACAGGGAGTCTGCTTGAGATTTTTCTCCCTCTCCCACTGCCCCTCCCCCTGCTCATGCTCTTTCTCTCTCTCTCAAATAAATAAATCTTTAAAAAAAATTTTTTTGGAATGTGTTTTGTTGCAGGTGCCTTTGAAACATCCATGTGTCAACATCAAGTTTGCTGTTGTAAATGTTTTTCTGAAACTCATGAAAGAGGTAAGGATTCAGGACTCGTCACCTTATAGATTGTAACTGAAACATAATTACGAATGATATTGCCAGTTCTGTAGCCATCCCATACTACTCCCTAGTCTCAAATGTCTTGTACTCATCCAGCATTCATTTTTTAATTTATTTATTATTCATTAATTCATTCTTTTACTTGGTTGACTAATATAGAAGGAACTCCAATATCATACTCCTGGTGACATTAAAGATTCTGGGTGTACACAGATAAATAAGCTTTAATTCCCTACCCTAAAGGTAACCTGGCTGTTGATTATAGACTAATTCTCTAATTCTTTGTGCAACTTATTCTCTAAGAAGAAGATAAACTCTCAAAGTAAGATACTCCCTTAAGCTCCTTAAAAAAAATCCCCATAGGGCGCCTGGGTGGCTCAGATGGTTAAGCGTCTGCCTTCGGCTCAGGTCATGATCCCAGGGTCCTGGGATCGAGTCCCACATCGGGCTCCCGGCTCAGCGGGGAGCCTGCTTCTCCCTCTGACCCTCTCCCCTCTCATGCTGTTTCTCTCTCGCTCGCTCTCTAAAAAAATAAATAAAATGTTTAAAAAAAAAAAAAAATCCCCATAAAGACCTAGCACAAGTTCTGCTCTTTGTAGATGCTTAACGTGAACCTTGAGTGATAGATTATTTATTTAAAAACATGGACCACTTGGGGCGCCTGGGTGGCTCAGACGGTTAAATGTCTGCCTTTGGCTCAGGTTGTGATCCCGGGGTTCTGGGATCAAGCTCCACATCGGGCTCCCTGCTGAGCAGGGAGCCTGCTTCTCCCTTTCCCTCTGCCTGCCGCTCCCCCTGCTTGTACTTTCTTTCTCTCTAATAAAGAAAAAAAAACTTTAAAAACATGGACCACTTTAGGAGCTGTCTGGGTGGCTCAGTCAGTTAAGGTCTCAGCAGGGAGCCTGCTTGTCCCTCTCCCTCTGCCTGCCTCTCCCCCTGCTCGTGTGCACGCTCTCTCTCTCTTCCTCTCTCTCTTTCTGTGTGTCAAATAAATAAATAAAATCTTTAAAAAAAAAAAAAAGACTATTTAGAGGCCAAAGGCAGAGACCTATGACTTTTTAAAAATAAAACAATAGCATGTATACATAAAAGTAAGCTTGATAAAATTTTATAAAATGAACACATGTACATGAAACCTAGGCTAAGAAACAGATAATTACCAAAATCCCAGAAGCCCTCTTCTGCCTTCTTCTAGTTACTACACACCATGGCCACTTTCTTCCCAGGAAGCTCTCTGTCAATGCCTGAGCGTGGTATAGATGCTAGTGCCTGGACATTTCTGCCCAACGTGGGCCCCCTCTATGAGCTGGCCGAGATTTTCATGGAGCTTCTTCCTACTCTGTCCGAGGCTCTTCCTACTCAGTCCTCTTTTCTCTCCCCTCTCCTTTCCCAGGTGTCAAACCTGCATCATGGTCTAAAGATTTACCCTGTCTACTCCTTTACTCCTTTAATAGATGTTACCAGCAATAAATCTCTTGCAATTCTAACTCTGCCTTGATGTCTGCTGCCCAGAGAACCCATCAACACAGATGGTACTGGAGGTGGTCTGCAATGACAAGCTCAGTTTGGGGACTGGACCACACACCTCCCTGCTGGCTAGGAGGACCCCATTCAAGTAGTATGTGGGCACAGATAGTCTCAGATAAAAGTGGTTGTCCAATTGCTAAAAATATCACCAGTCTTGACTTGGGAGTGACATCCCAGGGGAGAATGCCCTGGTGAGATGATTCAAACCCTTTCTTTTTTTTTTTTTTTTTTTTAAGATCTTATTTATTTATTTGAGAGAGAGCATGAAAGAGCACAGCCAGGGGGAGCGGCAGAGGGAGAGGGAGAAGCAGGCTCCCTGCTAAGCAGAGAGCCCAACGTGGGGCTCCACCAGGACCCTGGGATCATAACCTGAGCTGAAGACAGACAATTAATTGACTGAGCCACCTAGGCGCCCTGATTCAAACCCTTTTAAATGCAGGCAGTCAGGGAAGGGAGAGACTACACATAAGGATAATGGAATTCGCTGGGTATTAAACAGTTGCGTTGACAGCCTGCAGAAGAAAAATTGGAAATGGAGGGCAGTTAACAGACAGTTATGGCTAAATATGAGAGCCAGCAGGCCTCTTTGGTAGCTTATAAAGTAGAAAAGCTAGTACAACCCAGGACCAAATTCAGGATTTGACAGTTAAGAGCCCCCCAAACAGTGGAATGCTCTGCCATAGCAGGTCTGTTATACCCTGGTTGAGAAAACATGGGACCCTGAAACGGGATGGGAACATCTAGGTGGATACCCTCAAAGATACTGGCTCTGCAGTCTTTCCTGGACCTTCAGAATCTACAGATGTTGCCAACCCCTCCCTGTGCAGGAAGACACTGCAGAGGCCTCTCTTCAAGGCAATAGATGCCTCCCCCCGCCCCCCACCACCACCACCACACACACACACCAGGAACACTGCCCACCTCCTCTTCTGGCTGCCAGGTTGATAATTACCCTTAAATCCCCACATAACTTACGGGGACACAGCGGACCTGATGAGGGCACTAGTGTTCCTCCCTCAGCTCATACCTGTGGCTGTAGGGGCCATCCAGTATAATCAGCTGAAGGAGAAGGAAGAAGTCCAACCTTGGTTTACAGATGGGTCAGCTCAATTGTGAGTGCAAGCTTTGTCATTGGAACTGGCACAATGGGCATATGAGCGGAGTGGCCACGGTAGCAGAGACAGAAGCTACATATGGGCCTAAAAGCATGGACTCCCACTTATCAAAGCTGGCCTCACTATCACCGCCTCTGAATATCTAAACTGCCAGCAACAGAGACCAACACTCAGCCCATAATATGGCTCTATTCCTTGAGGAGACCCACTGGTAATAAGTAGACTAACTGGGCCCCGTGGACCCCAGATGACACAGTGATTCATTCTCACATAAATAGACACTTACTCAAATATGGATTTGCTTTTCCTGTCTTCAAGAGCTGCAGCCATTACCACTTTCCAAGGGCTTACAGAGTGATCCACAGTCATGGAATCCCACATGACAGCGTCTGACCAGGGGACCCTGTTCTGAACACAGGAGGTATGGATATGGGGCCATGACCTTGGGATTCACTGCAGCATCCAGAAGCTGCTGACCTGGTAGAGTGATGGGATGACCTGCTGAAAGCATAACTGAAATGTTACCTTGGAGACAAGACTCTTAATGACTGGGCACTCCTCCGGAATGCAGTCTATGCACTGAATCAGAGGCTTCTAAATGGTACTGTGTTCCCGGGAAGAAGAAAACTGTTGCCTAGGAATCAAGAAGTGGAAGCAGGAGGGGTTCCACTTACCATCACTCCAGTGACCCACCGGAAGATTTTATGTTGTCTATCCCTGCAACTCTGGGCTCTCAGGATTAGAGGGCCTGATAAGGGGATGCACTCTTGCCACTGGGCACAGTGAACTACAAGCTGTGGCTGCCACTTGGGCACCTTGGATTCCAGCAGGCCAGAAGAGTCACCATCTTGGCAGAGGTCATTGTCCCTGATCAGCAAGTAGAGGCAGGGCTCCTGTTACACGATGAGGACAGGGAAAAATATGTGTAGAATTCAGGTGACCCACGTGGGTGCCTCTTGGCACTTTATTGTTGAATTGCAAACTTGGGTGGACGAGTGCAGCAATCCCGGCCTAAGAAGAATATGGTTAACAAAACTCAGACCCCTCCAAGTGGAGCAGCTGCTCCCTGGATCTGTGGAGAGAAGTAAATCTATGCGGCACAAGGGTGGGCTGTGGCAACCACGGATGGGTGTGCTGTTCAAATGTCCCTTCAAGAAAGAACTTAGTGAGCAATTGCGAGAGGAGCAGTTTACTGATAGCCTCAGGTTACAGCATCTTTGGGCTCTGTAGTTTTTGAGCTGAGGCCAGGCTTTTCCTCAGCCAGCCCCAGCCAATGATTGAGCATGTGCCCAGCACTCTCTCTTACATTTGGGAACTTCTCTACCCGAACCCCAACTGTAGGGTTCCAAAAGGAGAAACCATGCCCTTCTATGTCCTGGCTCCCACCACCAAAGTTGATTGGTCTAAGCATGGGTGCCTAATTGAAGATAGGCGGTCACTCATAGTCCTTCCCTTGGATTTTTTTTCTTTCTTTCTTTTTTTTTTTTAACTGTAACTGAGAAAAGAGTGTCTCTAGTGGGGAAGGTGTAAGAGGTAGACTCCGGAGTTATTGGTTTCTGGCCATGTGAAGAAGTCCATCTACAGTGAGAATGAAGTCAACACACAGAGAAGTTCAAAGACAAGAGACAGAGAGTGCTTGCAGCATTCAATTGCTTGAGGTCCACCTGTATCCGGCTCTTCTAGGTTTGATTGTTTTAACCTTTTCCTTCTATTGGGTAAGATAGTCTAGTATGTTTCCAATAAATAATCTGATCGGAATCAGACATCCATGATATGTGATCGCCTAAGAGGTTCTGGCATTTAGGAGTATCCTATACCTATTTTATATTAAAAGGTAACATTGACAGAGTTGAGGGTTTATTATGTTCCGAAGAATGGTCTAAGCACTTTACATATCTGAATTCATTTAATATTCTCAGCAACAATGAGTCTAACCTAATGTCCTCTATTGTTTTCCCCAATTTACATATAAAGAAATCGAGGCTACTTTATTTTAAAATAAAAAATAAATAAGGGATTCCACCACATGTCCTTTTAATAAGGGCTCCAGAGAGCCAACTTTAGAGATGTACAATCTTTAGCATTTTAGTCTCTCACCTAGTGATGACAGCTCTGATTTATGGCCTGAGCAAGACAGGTTTGCAGCTGCAGATCCCTTCAACTTCTTAGAAAGGCATGTTTTTTTTTTTATTATTCTTATGTTAATCCCCATACATTACATCATTAGTTTTAGATGTAGTGTTCCATGATTCATTGTTTGTGCATAACACCCAGTGCTCCATGCAGAATGTGCCCTCCTCAACAGAAAGGCGTGTTTTTAAGAATAGGGAGAGTAGGGGCATCTGGGTGGCTCAGATGGTTAAGCGTCTGCCTTCGGCTCAGGTCATCATCCCATAGACCTGGGATCGAGTCCTGCATCGGGCTCCCTGCTCAGTGCAGAGCCTGCTTCTCCCTCTCCCTCTGCCATTCCCTCTGCTTGTGCTCTTCTGTCTATCTCTCTGTCAAATAAATAAATAAAATCTTAAAAAAAAAAAAAGGAATAGGGAGAGTAGCTTTACAGTAGTCCCCCGTTATCTGCTGTTTTGCTTTCCACAGTCTCAGTTACCCATGCAAGCAGATGATCCTCCTTCTGACAATCATCAGAAGGTTAATAGTCGCCTAATGCTGGGTCACAAGCCTGTGTTATTCACCTCACTTCATCTTATCACATAGGCATTTTATCATCTCAGTTATCACAAAAAAGGTGAATACAGTACAATAAGGCATTTTGAGAGTAAGACACATATGCACACTTATATAACTTATTATAGTATATTGTTATAATTATTTTATTGTAGTATCTCTTACTGTGCCAAATTTATAAATTAAACTTGATCATAGGTATGTATACATAGGGAGACACATAGTATATAGGGTTCTATACTATCTGTGGTTTCAGGCATCCACTGAGGGTCTTGGAACATATCCCTCCCCAATATGGGGTCAACTATATAAATAAGCAGAACTGATAATTTCCTATATGTACACATTTTGGAACCATAAAACCGGGATTCAAGGTTTGACAACTATGAGTACTAATATGGTCAGAACATGTAAGTGGAGACAATCCTGGAAGAATGCCACTGGTACCTATCAACAGAGACTCCTAGAAGGCCAAATACCTTCATCACCAAGGCTTGAAATACAATGACAGTGAGTCACTTCTTCATATGAAACATCCACATGACCTCTCCTGTCTTTTAAAATTGAACACTCTGGAGGGGTATAACTGGGTACTTAATACCTTCCCTACTTCAAGGGTGAGAAGAATGGAGGGGAAGAAAGAATGGAGAGACCTAGAGTAGTAAAAGGCAGGGAAATGCCTTCCAAACCCACCACTTAATGGAAACTTCTGTTAGTGCCAGGACCCTGCCTCTAGAACAAGGCTGTCCAACAGAAATATAATGCTTGCCACACATTTAATTAACATTTTTCTAGTAGCCACATTAAAATTTGTTTTCTAAAAACAGGTGAAATTACTTTTAAAAATATAATTATTTGAACCATCATATCAAAAATATTATCATTTCAATATGTAGCCAATTAAAAATTAATAAGCTATTTTACATTAATTTATTTTATATGTCTTTGAAATCTAGTGTATATTACATGTTTAGCAAATAACAATTCAGATGCTCACTGTACTTAGATTTCACAAAATTTTAAATGGAAAGAGTAGTTTCATAGACTAAGCTGTTCAAAACATACTTAAAATTTTCCAATAACTGAATCAAGTATCAGTTTTTAAATTTAAAATTAAATAAAATTTAAAATTTGGTTTTTCAATCCCAGTAGCCACATTTCAAGTGCTCATTAGCCATGTGTGGCTAGTGACAACCATATTAGCACAGATAGAGAACATTCCACCAGTGCAGAAAGTGTTATGGGACTATGCAGGTCTAGGTGGTTCTAGCCTTTAGTGTAAACTTAATTCACTACTTAGCCGGACAGAGTCAGGGAAGTAGGTTAGTACACAAAACAGATTCCTTAACTTCCCAGAAGCCTTGAGATGCCTCTCCCTTGACTCTCAAACTGACTTCTCTAGGTCCCTTCTCTCACTCCATCCCCCCTCCTTCAAGCCAGTAAAGAGCAAGGACTCTGGAGTCAAAGATCCCAATTTTAATCTCAGCTCATCACTTACTGGTTGACTTCCCACAGGTTAATTAACTTCTCTGAGCCTTAGTTTTCTCATTAATAAATTGGTGACAGTATTTTAAAGGATTGTTGTGAGTAGTAAGAGAGGTAATGTGCACAAGACATTTAGCACACTGCCTGCCACACAGAAAAAAGAATAAATGGTAGTTATTAAAAAACTAATTCTCTGTATACGCTTTGTATATGTCTCCACCACTCTCTGCCATCCATGCCTGGTTATTCCTTGGTATTCTTAAGCAGGGCAGGAGTTAGTGAAGATGGCAGTGAGAAGTAGAGAAGGACCTGAGCATCTGGGTACTGGCATGCACCCCAGCTCAGCCCAGTGGTTGATTTCTGAACACTGGTTGCTGCTACTGTTATCTTCAGCTCTTCCCTCCCCCTTATCTGTTCAGATGGCTTTTGCTCTGGAACTCCAAGTCCTACATGCCCCCCCCTCCACTTTCTACTCTGAACTGGAACAAATGATTAACCACACAAAGCAGTCATCAACACTCTTTCCAAGGACATCAATGACCTCATTAAGTCCAAGCTAAGGGGCACTTTCTCCTCGACCTCTGCAGTATGTGACACTGTTGCTTCTCCCTCCTCATCCTGGTTCTCCTCTAACATCCTACAGACATTCCTCCTTCTCCTCCTCCTCCTTTTCAAAGGCAAATCTCTTTACTGCTCTCTAGGCCTGAGCCTTCCCAGCACGATCTCATTTACTCCTAAGCTCAGTTCTCCTAAACTGATGGCTCCCAAACCTGTACTGCCAGCTTCCACTTCAGCTTCAGGCCCAACCTACTGCTCCCTGCTGGCCCCTCCTCCCTCATGACCCACCTCTGAACTCAGCCTTGTTCCCCTCAAACCAGGTTCCCTGGTTGCTGTCAGTGGGGGAAGAGAACACACACTGACTCCAAGCTCCTGTGGCCACATCCTGTGCTGCGTACTTCCTTTCATCTTCACAACAACTCTGTGAGGAAGGAACTGTGATCTACATTTTACATATGGGGGAAAAAAGACTCAGAAGAAGAAGAAACCAAAATTAGGTCTGTCTGAATCCATACTCCATTTTCTTTCCAATCCATAGGGCCACCTCCCATAATTCATTCAATGAATTGATGCTTTCTGCCAGGATGGGTAATATACCATCTACCCCCAAACAGTTTGCAGTTTAGTGAGAGAGACAGAAAAGATACAGGTAAATTCAATGGTGTGGCAGTGCTATGATCGGATCCAATGGGAATGTGCAGAGGGGAACCTACCTCAGGCTTTGGGGTCAGAAAAAGCTGCTACCAAAGAGAAAATATCTCTGCTGAATCAAGAAAGACTAGTAAGAATCACAAAGGAAGAGACTGGGGTAGGAAGCATGATCTCAGGCAGAGGGAGTAATGAGAGCAAATGCCTGAAATCCGGGGAGAGAGAGTTGGGAGGCTGCAAGCAGTTCAGTGTGGCAGGAGCCAGACCAGAGGCAGCGTGAGACAGAGGTGATCAAGGCCAGCTGGAATCTAGGTTGAGGGTACAGGAAGCCATTAAATCCTTTTAGCAGAGGAGAAGCAGGTTCAGATCTGCATATGAGAAAGAATCACTCTGGCTGGAAGGTAACCAATGGACTCTAGAGGGAACCAAAAAGGAGAGGGCAGGGAGAACAATTAACAGGCCACGGCCACAGTCCAGGTAGGAGATGATGACAGTACAAATTAAGGTAATGGCCCCCTAGATAAGGAGGGGTAGAAAAAAATCCAGGATGGAGACTGCATGGGACTTTGTGTTTGATTAGATGTTATTAGATGTGGAAGGCAGCTAAGGAATCAAGGATAATATTCATATTTGGAAGTGGGCAACTATGTGGATGGTACAGTCATTAAGAGTGAGAGATACACAAGAAAGGACAAGTATGAAGGAATGTTGATGCATTTCACTTGAGACATGTGGAGGTGAGGTGCCAGTGAGACACCCAAATCCGGATGTCTGATAGACAGTGGTCTATGGGTTTGTAGCTCAGGAGAAGGAACTGCAGGGGTAGAGACAGAGGTTTGAGTTTCATCAGTGGTAACTTAAGCAATAAGAGTATATGAATACTCCAAAGATACATCTAAAACTAATGATGTAATGTATGGGGATTAACATAAGAATAAAAAAAAAAAGAATATATGAATACTCCAAAGAGATATAAAATGAGAGGAAAAGCAGGTTGAAGAAGGAACTGAGACAAACAAACATTTAGGAGTTAAGTAGGAGAAGAAAGACCTTAAAGGAAATGGAGAAGAAGCCAGTGAAGCAGGAGGAAAAACAAAAAAAGTGTAGTCTTGTGGAAGCAAAGGGAGGATAGGAGTAGAGGTAAAGATGCTGACAGTATAACTAGTTCCAATAGTAGGGAGGTTATGGGTGCACTTTTTGAGAGCAATCTAAGCCAGTCTGCAGGGGGTTGAGGGAAGACTGGATGGTAAGCAAATGTAGATGGTGAACACAGAAAACTCCTTCAAGTTCGAGCTCCACGTTGGGTGTAAAGATTACTTAAATGAATAAAACTTTTAAAAAGAAAAGAAAAAAACTCCTTCAAAGTATCTATTTGCACTAAGTTCACTGTAAAGATTAAACGAGATGGTGAAAGTAAAGCAATTAGCACAGTGCATGGCACATAACAATAATTCAGTAAATGTTAGCTACTACTACTATTATTATATATTAATGAATATATCTTGGGGTGGTTGGTTGGCTCAGTCAGTTAAGTGTTCAACTCCTGATCTCAGCTCAGGTCTTGATCTCCTAGTGGTGAATTTGAGCCTAATGTGTGGAGCCTAGTTAAAAGGGAAAAAAAG